TTTGTATCCTTCAGCGCTCTCTGGCCTTCTTCCCCCTGCCCCCTTCCCTGCGACTTTCGTTGACTCAAGCTCGCCTCCTCTCCATTTCCTCTCTCTGCCTCTCTCTCTCTCTCTGTCTTCTTCTCTCTCTCTCTCTCTCCATCTCTCTCTCTCTCTCCTTCGCTCTCTGTCTGTCTGTCTCTCTCTCTCCCTCTCTTTCTCTCTCTTTCTCTTTCTTCCTTTCAGATTCCGTGTCCTTGCGACCTTCTGCAGTCCCCGACGTCGCCACGGCTGGATCCGCTCGAGCGTGTCTTGTGATGTGCGGCGGTGCGAAGCCCGTCCCACTGATCAAGGCACAGGTACGAAATGATGGGTCCATCATTTCTTGCCTTCCCATGTGCGTTTTCCCAATCGATTCCTGGGCCCGAGGTCGCAAAAATTACGACGTCGGAGGTCTGGGGAGGCGGGAAGCACGACCTGGACCTCCGACGTCTTGGAAAAATCACGACGGCGGTTTCGGTCAATTTTCGGCCTCCGGGGCCCCTCGCAGGGTCCCGGGACCGTCAGAAAACGACTCAGGATGAAAAAAAAAAACATCCCCAGGAAGTCGTCGAGAGGTCCAGGGGCCGCGCACAGAAAGCATCACGACATCGGACGTCCAGAGAGGAGGTAGGAACACGAGGAGGAGGGAGCCCAGACCTCCTGGCGACGCAACACCAAAGACAACAAAAGCTTCCCCGCGACTTCCCCCAGAGACTCTAACTACAGAAACTCCTTTCGTATTCCGGCCAGAAGCATCCAGAAACGATGTACATTAGCCCTGGCGGGGGGAATGATGGCGATGGTGATGTTCATGATGACGACGGTGACGATCCTAGCTAGAACCTAAGCGCGCGCGAAGCGCGCGCGTGGTTCTAGTATATATATATATATGTATATACATATGTATCCCCAGGGAATGGGGCGATGCTTGCTTCTTGAGGGCCTCTTGGGACGCCTCCTGGTGGCTTCTTGGGGCGTCTTAGGGGGCCCCTGGGGCCTTCTGGAGGCAATCTCGGGCGTCCTGGAGCGAACTCCTGACGAGTCGTTGATGCCCATTTGGACCGTCGGGGGGGCCTTGTGGGACCCTCTTGGCCCATTTTGGGGGCTGTCTTGGGGCCGTCTTGTGCTGGTGGTCGTGTTGGTGTTTGTGCTGGTGGTTGCGATGGTCGCCGCGCTGGTGGTTGCGATGGTGGTTGCGCTGTGTTTGTGTTTGCTGGGGTGTGGTTTTCTTGGTGGTTGTTTTGCTGGTGGTGGTTGTGCTGGAGGGTTGTGTTGGTGGTTGTTGGGCTGGCGGTTGTGATGGCGGGTCGTGTTGGCGGTGATTGCTTGTGCGACCACCAGCACAGCCACCTGCTGGAACACCAGCACAAACACCAGGGCAACCACCAGCACAACTGCCATCAACACTACCACCAACACAACCACCCGCACAACCACCAGCAAAACAGCCAGCGCAAACAAAGACACAAGCACAGAGACAACCACCAGCACAACCACCATCAGCAAAACATGGAGCACAACCGCCAGCACAACCACCAGCACAACCTCCCGCACAACAACCCGCACAACCCCACAGCACAGCACAACCACCTGCACGACAACCCGCACAGCCACCACCAGCACAACACCCAGCACAACCACCCGCATAATCGCCAGCCATTCAAATACCAGCACAACCATCAGCAGGACCACCAGCAAGTCCACAAGCACAACCACAAGCACAGCCACCACCAGCACAAACACCAGCACAACACCCAGCACAACCACCAGCACAACCACCAGCACGGTCACTCGCACAGCCACCACCAGCACAACCACCAGCACAACCACCCGCACAATCGTCAGCCAAACAACCGCAAGCAAAACGTTCCAGCACAACCACCCGCACAACCACCACAAGCACAACCACCACAAGCACAACCAGCATCACAACCATCCGCACAACCAACAGCACAACAACAAGCACAACCACCGGCACAACCACCAGCAAAACCGCCAGCACAACCACCACCAGCACGATTTGACAAGCACAACCACTCGCACAACCACCCGCACAGCCACCCGAGCAATCACCAGCACATCCACCAGCACATCCACCAGCACAACCACCAGCACAACCACCAGCACAACCACAAGCACAACCACCCACACAACCACCAGCACAACCACCAGCACACCCCTCCAGCACAACCACCAGCACAACCACCCGCGCAACCACCCGCACAACAACCCGCAAGACCACCCGCACAACCGCCCGCACGCCGACCACAACCACCAGCACAACCACCGCGCAACTACCACCAGCACAACCACCCGCACGAACACCAGCACAACCACTCGCACGACCACCAGCACAACCACCCGCGCAACTACCACCAGCACAACCACCCGCAGAGCCACCAGCGCAACCACTCGCACGAACACCACCACAACCAGCAACACAGCTTCCCGCACAATCGCCAGCCCAACAACCACCAGCACACCCCTCCATCACAACCACCAGCACAACCACCACCCGCACGACCACCCGCACAGCCACCCGCACAACCACTTCCTGGGCAACCACCAGCACAACTTCCCGCAGAGCCACCAGCATAACCGCCCGCACGCCGACCAACACAACCGCCAGCACAACCACCCGCACAACCACCAGCACAACCACCAGCACGACCACCCGCACAACCACCAGCACAACCATCACCAGCACAGACACCGCCAGCACAACCACTGGGACCACCACTGCCAGGACCCCCCTCACCACCACCGCCAGGATCTACCACCGCCAGCAGAACCACCACCACCATTCGGCGCCCTTATTTTTTTTCGGCGTCGCAGAGCTTTTTGCTTGGGGCCGCACATCTTCCTCTCAATCTCCCCCCGGATCTCCCTCCAGATCCTCCTTAAGACGACGGCGGCGACGACGACGGCGACGACCACCAGCACAACCACCACACAATCACCCGCAACCACCAGCACCACCACACAACCACACAACCACCCGTTCAACCACCTGCACTACCACCAGCATGACCACCATCACAACCATAAGCACAACCACCAGCTTAACCACCAGCAGCGCAACCACCCGCACAACCACCGGCTCAACTGCCAGCACAACCACCACGACAACCACCAGCAGAATCAACAGCACAACCACCCGCACAACCACTCGCACAATCACCAGCAGCAGAATCACCAGCACTAGACAAGCACAACCACCAGCACAACCGCCAGCACGACCACTAGCACGACCGCCAGCACAACTGACCGCACAACTGTTTGCACAATCACCGCCAGCACAACCAGCCACACAACCATTCGCACCATCACCAGAACAACCACCCGCACAGCCACCAGCACGACAACCCGCACAGCCACCCGCGCAACCACCAGCGCGACTGCCAGCACAACCACCAGCAGCATCATCCGCACAACCACCCGCACGACCACCAGCACAAGCAGTAGCACAACCACCAGCACAATCACCAGCACAACCACAGGCACAGCCACCAGCACAACCACCAGCACAACCACCCGCACAACCACCAGCACAACCATCAGCACGACCACCAGCACAACCACCAACACAACCACCAGCACAACCACCCGCCCAACCACCACAAGCAAAATCACCAGCACAACCACCAGCACAAATGCCCGCACAACCACCAGCACAACCCCCCGTACGACTACCAGCACAGACACCAGCACGACCACCAGCACAACCACCAGCACAACCACCAACGCAACCACCAGCCAAAGCACCACCAGCGCAACCACAAGCACAACCACCCGCACGACAACTAGCAACCACCAGCAATATCACCAGCACATCCACCGGCACAACCACCAGCGCGACTTCCAGCACAACCACCAGCACAAACGCCAGCGCAACCACCAACACAATCACCACCAGCGTAACCACCAGCACAACCACCCGCACAACCACCAGCACAACTACCAGCACAACCACCAGCATTACCACTCGCACAACCACCCGCGCAACCACCAGCACAACCACCAACACACCCACCAGCACAATCACCAGCAACCACCAGCATGAGCACCAGCATTATTACTGGCACAACCACCACCAGCGCAGCCACCAGCACAACCACCCGCACTACCACCAGCGTGGCCACCATCACAACCACCACCAGCACAACCAGAAGCACAACCATCAGGAAAAACCAGCAGCACATCCATCAACGCAATCACCAGCACAACCACCACCAGCACAACCACCAGCAGCGCAACCACCAGCACAACCACCAGCAAAACCGCCGGCACAAACGCTGGTGGTAATCCCTCGCAAAACTAGGAGTGCGATGCCGAGCGCACCCACAACATTTCGTGGGGCTTCGTCCTGCTAGCAACAACCTTGATTTGTTTCATGCCGCGCCGCTGCGCCTTTTCTATTTTTGTAAATTTCTATTTTTGTTTTCTGCCACGCCTCTGAGCTAGGATACTACCGCGACAACCTAGAATTTGAACCCCTTGTTTTTGAAAATCATTGTTTGTTTGAGCTCCCAATTTGGGGCGTCGAGGGCAGGGCCGTTGCCTTCGTCTCAGATTCGTTGCATGATCACCTTCGGGCCGGGCTTTCTTGAGAGCTTTGCCTGTTCAGCGCGGAGCCGAGGAGGGAGTAGGGAGGAAGAGGCGGCTGCGGGGAAAGGGGAGGCAGGACTCATCACAAGGATCGTAGCTTCTTCGTGTGTGGTATTCTCAACCTCCAGCCCTGGTTCACCCGCCCGCAGACGCCAGGAGTCACTATCTTCTTCCATCTTTGCCAGGTTGTGCCCTGCCAGGTGGCGTGTCCCGCTGACCCCCCTCTCGGGCTTCACCTGCGCTTTCTCTGCTGGACACCTGAGGGGATTGTCCTTCTCCTTGCTCAAGAGACCTCTCGCTTGCGCAACTTGTCCTCCCGTGCGCAAGCAGCGGGGCTGTAGTTCCCGCGCGCAGGCGCAGCCTCTGAGCCAATGCCCCCATTCGCGGCCACGGCTGCTGTCGCCGCCGCGACGGTGGCGCATCCAGAGCGGCTGAAGCAGATCGAGCTCATCAAGCAGACCCCTGGCGTGCTGTGGCAGCCAGCGCTGAATCCGAGGTTCGCGTCTGAGGCTCGAAAGAGTAAACAATTGCATGCACATGTTAGCTAGCACGGGCCCCTCGCAGGAGGCCCCTGCACTCCCGATGTGCAATCTATGTGGTGCAATTCTACGTGGCGCAACTTATTTACCAGCGTGAAGCATATCCCTATCGCTACGTTTGGTATCACCTTGACTCGGTGCCAATCTGAAGAATTCCCTCAGTTTCGAAGGGCGCATCCCCAAGATTGTCATCGCCTTGGGCTTGCCGATCTTAGCGATAGGGGGTACGTTCGAGACTGGTCAACCTCTGCGGTGCAATGGATGATGGAGAGCCCGAAAGCGTCGACTCCACTGCTCGTGCAAACATCCCATCTTCCAATACGCAACCTGTCCCCCATTCTTTTCTCTATTAATTCTAGCGGGTGGGGCAAGCAACAGGGCCCTGCCCTCCTCCCCTCCTCCCCATGGGCGCACGAATCGCTGCTCTGCGCAACTGCGTTCCTTTCCTGAGGCCGCCCTGTGGAAAACACTAGGCGGGTCGCAGGGCGCCGTCTGCGTCAATAAATTATCCTGGCGCAAGACCCAACCATGCGCAACTGTGAATACCGCGTTGTGGGTACCGCTTTTGGTGGAGCTCCATATGGGGCCACGAACCGTGTGTGGGGTGTGCCAAAATGGGGGACGGTCCCCGCATGCGGACTCTGCCACTGGGGCCTTCGGAGGAGCTCCCTGTTGGGCCACGAACCGTGTGAGAGGTGTGCCAAAATGGGTGGGGGTCCCCGCATGAGGACCCTGCCGCAGGAGCCTTCGGTGGAGCTCCCTGTGGGACCACGAACCGTGTGATGGGGTGTGCCGACACGCGTACGCATGCGGACCCTGCCACTGGAGCCTTTGGTGGAGCTCCCTGTGGGGCCACGAACCGTGTGAGGGGTGTGCCATAATGGGTGGCGGTCCCCGCATGCGGACCCTGCCGTTGGGGCCTTCGGTGGAGCTCCCTGTTGGGCCACGAACCGTGTGAGAGGTGTGCCAAAGTGGGTGGCGGTCCCCGCATGAGGACCCTGCCGCAGGAGCCTTCGGTGGAGCTCCTGTGGGACCACGAACCGTGTGATGGGGTGTGCCGACACGCGTACGCATGCGGACCCTGCCACTGGAGCCTTTGGTGGAGCTCCCTGTGGGGCCACGAACCGTGTGAGGGGTGTGCCAAAATGGGTGGCGGTCCCCGCATGCGGACCCTGCCGTTGGGGCCTTCGGTGGAGCTCCGTGTTGGGCCACGAACCGTGTGAGGGGTGTACCAAGATGGGTGGCGGTCCCCGCATGCGGACCCTGCCACTGGGGCCTTCGGTGGAGCTCCCTGTGGGGCAACGAACCGAGCGCGGGGTGTGCCAAAATGAGTGACGGTCCCCGCATGCGGACTCTGCCACTGGGTCCTTCGGTGGAGCTCCCTGTGGAGCCACGAACCGGTTGAGGGGTGTGCCAAAATGGGTGGCGGTCCCCGCATGTGGCCTGTGCCACTGATGCATTCGGTGGAGCTCCCTCTGGTGTCATGAACCGTGTGAGGGGTGTGCCAAAATGGGTGGCGGTCCCAGCATGAGGACCCTGCCACTGGAGCCTTCGGTGGAGCTCCCTGTGGGGCCACGAACCGTGTGATGGGGTGTGCCGACATGCGTCGCGTTGACGCATGTGGACCCTGCCACTGGAGCCTTCGGTGGAGCTCCCTGTGGGGGGCCACGAACCGTGTGATGGGGTGTGCCAAAATGGGTGGCGGTCCTTGCATGCGGACCCTGCCGTTGGGGCCTTCGGTGGAGCTACCTGTGGGGCCACGAACCGTGTGAGGGGTGTGCCATAATGGGTGGCGGTCCCCGCATGCGGACCCTGCCGTTGGGGCCTTCGGTGGAGCTCCCTGTGGGGCCACGAACCGATTGCGGTGTGTGCCAAAATGGGTAGCGGTCCCCGCATGCGGACCCTGCCGTTGGAGCCTTCGGTGGAGCTCCTTATGTGGCCACGAACCGAGTGCGGGGTGTGCCTCAATGAGTGGCGTTCGCGCGTGCGGCCGGTGCCACTGGGGATAGCTGAGGCAAGGAGGGGGAGGAGGGGGAGGGAGCAGCGGGGAGGGAGGAAGGGGCAGCGGGATGTGAGGTGAGGTGACGCGGGGCGCTCTCTTGTCAAAACGAGGACCCAACACCACAGAATGGTTGGGGAAAACCTACTCAGGGTTCTACCAAATATGTAGCCAGTTGTAGTTTGTTTACATCAACGGTGGAGCCAGCTGTTTTGTGATCCTACTGAGCTGTAGCCAGCTGGAGTCGGATCCTGTTAAAACCGTAGCCAGTTGAAGTTGGATCCGAATAAGGCTGTAGGCCTAGGATTAGGGCCTTACTAGAGTTGTATCCAGGCGTAGGAGGACTCCATCAGAACTGTGGGGAACAAGCTTTCGAAGGTCCGCGCGGATATCTTGCGTCTGCGCTTGGATCCCCCCGGCGGAGCCTCCGGCGCCGCCCCAGCGGCGCTTTCCGCGCGCCAGGGGGGAAGGGTCCAGCGGCGATTCAAGAGAATCCGCTGCCTCTTCTTCTGGAGGCGCCCGGCTCGGTGAAGTCGTGGTGGGGCGTGAAGGAAAATTGGAAGGACGTGCTCAATGCTGCGCTGAAGAGTGGTGCCGTGAAGCCGTTCTCGTCCCCCGGGCTGACCGACGCGGAGATCCCAGACCACTTCGACTCTGCGGAGCAGTGGCCGCAGTGCGCGAAGGTCATCACAGATATACGCGACCAGTCCAACTGCGGTTGCTGGCTTGGAGAAATCGGGGGAAGAGGGCAGTGAACCATGGGACTCCCAACACGCGCACGTGTATGTGTAATCGTGTGTGAATGCATTTGCATGTATACATGCATGCATGCATGCATGCACTCACACAGACAGACAGACATACATACAGACATACCTGCACATACACCTACATATGTAGATATAGGTATACATAAATATACATACATATGTACATAATGTATTTACGCATATATACATACATGAATGGGCACCTATACGTATGTATGTATGTATGCATGTATGCACATATGTATGCGTATATTCATGTATATAGATATATGTATTTATGCATGCATGCGTGCATGTATGTGTGTATGTATGTATGTATGTATGCATGTATGCATGTATGTATGTATGTATGTATGTATGTATGTAGGTATGTAGGTATGTAGGTATGTAGGTATGTAGGTATGTAGGTATGTAGGTATGTAGGTATGTAGGTATGTAGGTATGTAGGTATGCAGGTATGCAGGTATGTAGGTATGTGGGCATGTAGGTATGTAGGTATGTAGGCATGTAATGTAATGTCATGTAATGCAATGTAATGTGATGTAGTGTAGTGTAGTGTGATGTAATGTAGTGTAATGCAATGCGATGCAATGCAATGTAATGTAATGTAATGTAATGGAATGGAATGGAAAGGAATGTAATGGAATGTCATGTAATGTATGTATGTATGCGTGCATGTATGTATGTATGTATGTATGCATGCATGCATGCATGTATGTATACATATGCGTATATATATATGTGTGTGTATGTATATATCTATCTATATCCCGGTGGACGAGGACCGGGGGCCCAGGACCGCGGCCTCCTTGGCGCATGGGGGTACCGGGGCCTCTGGGGCGCCCCCAGGATGGCTCCCGAGGGCGCCGGAGGCCGCCAAACAGATCAAGAGGGCGCACAAGCCTCGAAATGTAGCTTGAAGACGCCGACGATGGCTCCAAGAGGGCTCTCGGGAGCCCCCGAGACAGCCCAAGAGGGCCCCAAATCGGCTACACGTAAGAGTGACCCTTGGCCAGAGTGACCTTTTAGTGTTGGCTGCAGAGATTCGAGGGGTTCCGAGCGAGGATAATGAAGCGTTGCATGCATGTACGTTTGGCTGAAGCCATTTTGAGATCAAGATCGCCCAGGCCTGAGGTGAAAAGGCCTGACCTCCACCTCACATACCGCTCAACATGGTAGCTGGAGCGTGATCGGCTGCAACCACGGCCGCGATGGAGGCGGCCCTGCAGGAGCTGCAGCGAGTGGTCGGTGAGCAGGCAGCCCAGATCCAGAGACTGACGGAGGGCGCCCAGAGGCCAGAAGCAGGGGCCGACGACAAACGGCTCGAGAGTATCGTGGACACGAAGATCCTGAGCAGGATTGGGATCTTCTCGGGCGCTGATGAGGAATGGAGGCAGTGGTGCTTCGTCTTCGAATCGACGGCAGGGCTCGTCGACCTAGAGCAGATCATGACGCACTGCGAGGTCACAGAGGAGACTGAGCTAGGCTGGGCAACACAGTCGGAGAGGGTCCACCTGAGAATGAAGGTGCTGTACCACCTGCTGATCGCCACGACGAGAGGCAAGGCCCTCACGATTCTCCAGATGGTGCCGAAGAACAACGGTGCCACAGGCTGGAAAAGGTTGAAAGAAGAGTACGCGCCGAAGTCTGGCGGAAGGCTGACGGCGATGCTCATGGGAGTGCTGAAGCCCGAGTGGGAGACGGCCATCAGGGGCGGCGTCCGCACCTGGGAGGCAGCCTGGAAGGAGTGGGAGAAGAGCGTCTCGCTCTACGAGGCCCAGTCCCTGGAGAGAGTCACGGAAGGCACGAGGATTGCTGTCGTGGTCAGGTGGGCTCCAGAGGACGTGGAGGCCGTGGTCCGGCAAGCCCTGGGGGCGATCGGCCAGGACTACAACAAGCTGGCCAAGGTCGTCACGGACTACATCGCCAGTGGCAAGGTCTACGAGACCACGGGAGCGCCCCACGGCATCCAGTACGACGGGCCCATGCCTATGGACGTTGGGCTGGTGAATGAGAATGGAGACGTAGGTGGCATCTTCAAACCTCCAAAGGGGTACGGCAAGCAAGCGAGGATTGATGCTGGAAAGGGTCGGGACATGGATCGCGACACCTGCAAGAACTGTGGCAAGCGAGGCCATCGGTCAAGAGACTGCTGGGCCCCAGGAGGTGGATCAGCGAACCAGATGAAGGGCAATAGCAAGGATAAGAAAGGCGGCATGGGAGGCAAGGAGAAGAAGAAGTGCGACAGGTGCGGGAAGCCAGGCCACAAGGCCAAGGACTGCAGATCACACATCAAGTGCGACAAGTGCGGGAAGCAAGGCCACAAGGCTTCGGAGTGCAGATCGAAGCCAGAGAATGCTGAAGTCAAGAGGATAGTCAACGAGGAGGACGAGCTGTGGGTCATGGGCGTCGCTGAGAGTGTGAACGCCATCAATGACAGCAGCAAGTACGTGTGGGTCTCGATCGACAGCGGGTCGGACGCCGATGGATGCCCCCTCGGCTTCGGTCACTCGAGCGATGACGTCGACGATCCCACTAGAGTGGAGCTGAGGACGGCCACGACCGACGAGATCCAAGATCACGGTGAGTGGAACGTCGGCATCGCGTTCGTGGACGAGACAGGCCACGAGGTGATGGCCACGAACCGATTCCGCATCGGGGACTTCAGCAAGCCTGTGCTGAGCTGCGGCATCAGGGTCACGAGAGGGGCTGTCGTCCACCTTCAGACGGGGAACAGCTACATGGCCCCGCCAAGCGTGAATGGCATTCAGAGGAGGATACCCCTGACGATGATAGGGAAGAGCTTCTACGCGAAGTGTCGGGTGCTAGAGGCGGGTGCTCACAGACATCGAGTGGCACCTGTGGTCGACCCAGCGGCTCAAGAGCAAGAGCCAGCGCCATCACCACCACCAGAACCTCAAGCTGCACCTGCACCGCCAGAGCCTCACGCTGTATCTGCACCACCACAGGCAGGACAACCACGAGAGATCCTGGGCTCCCAGTCGTCGGTCGAGGCGCTGAGGGCACGCCTGAAGGAACTGCGGAGGCTTGGGATCATCGATGCAGCCATCTACGGCACCAAGAAGCAGCTATGGGAAAGGCTCGTCAAATGCGAGCACCAGCTGGATGAGAAGATGAAGGTCAAGGAGGCCCTAGAGGAGCGCCAGCGGCGACTCCAGGAAGGCGTTGATCCCGAAGTACCGAGGACGCTGAAGATCCCAGAGAGACCAGACGCGGAGACTGTGAGGCAGCATGAGCTCACCCACGCGAAGTTCGAGCCCTGGTGCATGGGGTGCGTGTTCGGAACGGGAGATGCTGCACCCCATCGGGGAGTCCAGTTTCTCACGGACAAGGAGCCAGAGGTGCCTGTCGTGCAGACAGACAACCACTTCTTGAAGGACGACGGCGATGAGGCAGAGGATGCGGCCAACCGCTTCTCCACCGCGCTGGCCGTCATCGACTGCGACGCGGGCGTCCCTCTGCAGCTCAGCCTCCCAGAGAAGGGAGGCAACCATGACTATACGGTGACCTCGATCGTGAGCTTCCTCAGGAGGCTGGGCGCCACGCAGCTCAGGCTCAGGAGTGACGGAGAGCCGAGCATCGTCAGCATAGCGAACGCGGTGGCGGCCAAGAGGCTCAAGTTCGACAACTACAAGGTCACAGTGGAACAGACCCCCAGGTTCTCGTCGCAGTCGCTCGGGGCCGTGGGGGGCGCAGCAGAAGATCTTGCAGGGCCAGGCCAGGACGATCAGAGCTGCAACAGAGAAGATGCTGGGTATCAAGATAGGGCCAGGTCATGTTTTGTGGCCGTGGCTTGTTAGACACGTGGGCTTCATCGCGGAGATGTTCCGCATGCAGTCAAATGGACGGACTCCTCATCGGGATGCAACTGGCACCAAGTATCATGGCGTCGTCCTGAGGTTCGCAGAGGCCGCCATGTTCAAGCATCCGATGTCGCCGAGTGGCCACATGACTGGAGGCAGGCGCAGTCGCAAGTCAAAGTCGATGTGGGAGAAGGGCATCTTCTTGGGCAAGACCTACGAGAGCGACGAGTTCCTCATGGGGACGAGCAGCGGGGCGCACTTGGTCAGGACCGTGCGCAGGCTCCCAGGGGAACACCAATGCGACCTCGAGCTCGTGGCCAAGATGGTCGGGGTCCCCTGGTGCCGAGGCAGCGGCCAGATCGGAAGGCCGAAAGGCAAGAGGGTGGTCATTCTCCCGACTGCCCCGCCTGAGAAGAAGCAGGAGGAGGCAGAGGTCGACGACGCCAAGGAGGAGAAGAAGGTTCCAGGCACCACGGTTGAGAAGGGAGTTGCCGAGGACGGGCACAGCTACGCGAGTGCCAGGAGCAGGACAGGCAGCGGCTACATGGAAGATGTGGGGCTCCCCTCACCGAGGCAAGGGGCAGGCGGCAGCTCATCATCTCGTCCCGCCCAGCTGACTGGGGAGTCAGAGGTCCCAGAAATCGAGATGGGCACCGTTGGAGGCGTCGACGGCTTCGTGATGGACGAGATCGACCCGATGCCCGTCATGGATCCAGAGATGGACATCGACTGGTACGAGGGAAAGTACGACGTTGACCTCATCAAGGCAGGCGAGTGCAAGGATATCAACGCGATGCAGGAGTTCGATGTGTTCGAAGCTGTGTCGCCTGACGAGATAGACTCTACCTGGACAAGGCTGTCGACCAAGTGGGTGTACCAGGAGAAGGGCGAAGAGATTCGCTGTCGCTTCGTCGCCAGGGAGTTCAAGAGCATGGGCCCCGAGCGCGAGGGGCTATTCACGCTGGCCAGCGAACCCGCGACTGGCAGGCTCATAGATTTCAAGGCGGTGAACGAGGCAGAGGCACTCAAGGGCAACACCACGAGGACGATGTGGAGGATGAAGAAGAACCTCTATGGCGAGAGGGACGCGAGCAGAGGTTTCAGCGACTTCATGAACCGCGCTCTCGTCTCAGGGATGGAGTTTGAGCAGTGTCCTGACCAGCCATGCTTCTATCGTCGAGAACGGGATTCAGTGGACCTGGAGCTTCATCAGGATGACATCTACGCGACCGCTGACGACATCAAGCTCCAGGCATTCACGACCGAGCTCGGCAGTAAGGTCAATATCAAGGTGAGCAAGTTACCCAAGGTGGGTGCGAAGTACCAGCGTCTGAAAGGAGGGCGAGCGAGAGTCGAGGGTGGCATGTTCTTGACGGGCAACAAGAAGTACGCGGACAAGAACATAGAGCTATTGAGCCTCGGCAAGGCAAAGAGCTCGCCCACGCCCATCGTGACGAAGCTGCTGAAGGAAGACAGCGAGCATCCTCTGAACGCCGAGGAGACCAGTCTCTACCGACAGTGCGTGGGCATCGCGAGGTACATGGTTTATCACGTCGCGGAGGTCACGTTCGCCGTTCACGTGCTGAGCAAGAGGCTGGCTGCGCCCACCGGCAACGACATGAAGAGGCTCAAGCATCTCGGCAGGTATCTACTTGGAGTTCGTGACTATGCACTGTTCTTTCCTAGAGCTGGAGAGGCAGATATTTTGGAGTGCTACGCCGACTCGGATTGGGCTGGAGGCACCATCGACAGAAAGAGTGTTTCGTGCGGGGTGTTGCGTTGCGGCGGCTGCGCGCTTCTCGAGTACTCGCGCGGCCAGAGCAGCCAAGCGTTGAGCTCAGGGGGGGGGGGGGGGGGCAGGGTACTACGCGTCAGTGACGGCAGCTGCCGAGGCGATCCATCTCCAGAGCGTGATGGGTTTCCTGGACATGAACGTGAAGATCAGAATCCGCATAGACTCTGCTGCGGGGAAGGCGGTCTGCCACCGCATCGGAGTGGGGAGGATTCGCCATCTTGAAGTCCGCACTCTGTGGCTCCAAGCCAAGGTGCGAGACAAGAAGCTGGTGGTGGTCAAGCAGGCTGGGGAGACGAACCTAGCCGACGTGGGCACCAAGGCGCTGACGAGTCAGAGGTTCCACTGGCTGAGGGCACAGTTGGGATGGCGCCCGTTGGCAGGCGCGGATGGCATGGAAGAGAGCACGGCTGTTCGGGTCAACCTCGTGAGCGACTCGACGTCCAAGATGGCGAGGGTCGGTGCGGCCCTGGTCGCTCTCCTGGACAGCCTGGGCTCGGTGAAGGCAGACGGTGAGTGCGACGTCTACAGCTGCGAGACGGACAAGAAGGAGATCATCCTGAAGGACACCCGTCTCGGGACTGGCGTGCACCTCCAGGGCATGATGCTCATCATGGCCATGGTCTTCATGGTGATCGTGGCGTGCGCAGTTGGCGGCTGTGCTGGCTGGTGCGTCGGCTACTTCATGAGGCCGAACCGCGCAGAGGAGAGCAAGCAGATGAAGGAGAAAGTGGAGCTCTCCCAGAGGGCCACCAAGGCCAAGAAGGGGAAGGTCGAGGGCAGGACCATCTCGACACAGAGCCAGGTGACATACTCTTGGCATCGAGAGAGTCCTAGGTTTGTTCCACTGGGAGAGAGAGCTCAGGGTGCCTGGGCTGAGTGAAGTGAGCAGCCTGATGCGGTATCCCGCTGGAGGGTCGAGAGGACCACCAGCGGAAGGGCTTGAGCGACACCGCAGCGGCATGTTTTTGCCAGTGGCTCGCAAGAACAGGTTTCCTTGACTGTTGTGTACTGTTCCTCGTTGAGCGGTCTGATCAGCCGCCTCGTAGAGCCTCCGACGTCGCCCTCAGGGGGCGTGCAGAGATTCGAGGGGTTCCGAGCGAGGATAATGAAGCGTTGCATGCATGTACGTTTGGCTGAAGCCATTTTGAGATCAAGATCGCCCAGGCCTGAGGTGAAAGGGATCCGACCTCCACCTCACATACCGCTCAACATTGGCCCTAATGGGGTCGGACAGATTTTCTTGAGTAGTGCGCTCGGCCTCGCGTCGGCGCACGCTGCACCAGTCTGCGATCGCATCAGAGCGCGCTTGATACAGGGTGCGCCCCTCGCAATCGATCGCAACGCATGCACGGTGTATTCTGCCGCGTGCTTCGTTTGGCGAGGGGTGGCCCAGTCGAGCGGGCGACGGGCTCTCCGCTTTGGGACCGGTCCCAAATCGTCCTGGAATAACTTTGAGTAGCTTTGACGAACGTTGGCTAACTTTGGGTAACTTTTCGCATTCCGCGCTTTACAATTCAATTCTTTACTTTCAAAGTTATTTGCGGCCGCGGGGGGGCCAAGTTTCGGCCCGGTTTCGGCCTTGACGCCGGACCCGGTCAGACGTCATCGCGATGCGGCCCGGTAGTGCCAAAACATTTCGCGGTGGCGCCCGATTCCGTCTGGTTTCGCAGAGCCCTCGGGCGGGTGTTCTGGGGCGCCCGGAACGAATTTGCGGAAGTCCGCAAGTGCCTGCTGGCGCTAGGGATCTATCGAAGCGCGCCCCACCGATCGTTGATGCAATCCGACGGCCTCGGCTTGCGCGGTTGCTCCAGGCCCCCGCGGGCCCCCCTAAGGCCGCGCACCAAAGGGCACTCTTGCCTAGGGTCACTCTTAGAGGCAAAAATGGCCCCGTTCCCTCTGGAAAGCGTATATTTTTCAGGGATTCGCCTTTTGCCCTTCCAGGCGAACGAAGACTGCCCGAGAGGCCGCCAGGATCGCCCCAAGACAGCCCAAGACGGTTCCAAGACAGCCCAAAAGGGCCCGTGGCTAGCCCAAGAGGCCCCCAAGACGGCCCAAGAGGGACTCAGGACGGCCCCAAGCAGGGGCTCAGAGAGGATGCCCTACGAATATTTCAAGCTCTCCGACCCCAGAGGTCCCAAGGAGGCCCCCAAAGCCCCCCGAAACGCCCCCAAGAAACCCCCCAAAACCTTCATGAAGCTCCCTAGATGCCCCCTAACAGCCCCCTGACCAGACGCCCTCAGGTATTCTTCCCGCTCCCGAAGCTTCAGACCACTCTTCGCTTCCTGAGGCTCGAAACGGGGCCTGTGACCGGTCAAACGTTTACGACGAAACACGGGGCCCATGGAAGGTCTTCGGACTCCGGGCCCACTCCAGGGACCCCGCGTTGAACAAGTCACGCTAGCGAATCTCTTGGTCAGGATGACGTACCAGTCCCGTGGAATGCGCCGGACTTCCAGGACCCGACGTGTAGCGACCCGTAGTGGTGATGATAGTGGTCGTGGATTCGCGGCAGTGGCAGTGGCAATGGTAATTAGTGGTATTGGTGGCGGTACAGGCAGAATTTGAACCAATGGCCGTTATAGTCGTCGCGGAAAGTGCAATCGTCGTGGATGGGGTGGTCATGCCCAGAATGGACATGGAATCGGAAGTGGTCGTGACCGCGGTGATGGCGGAAAGGGCGGTGGTAGCCGTGGCGGCATTGGCGGTGTTGATCGTGGTCGCGGGAGTGACTAGAATCGAAGTGCGCGCGAAACGCGCGCGTGGTTCTAGTATGTACGTCTGCGTGCAGGAGTATGCGAGGGGCTGGCCGGGAACCACGGCCCCAGGTTGGCATGGGGACTCTGGGTGCCCCAGGGGCGCCCCTGTGGCCCCCAGACTGGCCCCGTGGGCGCCCCGATGGCCCCAAAATTACAGGAAAAGTTTACCGGACCGGTTCAACACAACCCGAGACCGCCACAGATGGTTGCCAGACAGCCTCCGAGGAATTCCAGGCGGCTCCAGGAGGGCCACGGGCAGGCCTCAGTGGGCTCCCGAGGTCTCAGACGAGTGCCCCGAAAGACGCCATTCTTTGATTTACCTGGTGTATTCAATGTTTCTGGGGTCCTCTACTGTTCGAGTTTCCGGCAATCCGCGACGGACTAAGAGGTTTCCAGCACCGCTTCAGGACGGGCGAAGAGGCCTCCAGGAGGGCCACAGGACGGCCTAACAGGGCTCCATGACGCCCCCGAGGGCGCCCAAGACGGCCCACGAGGCCCTACAAACAGCCCCAAGATGGCCTCCAGAGGGGGAGCATGATCCGAAAGTTCGAGTCTTCCGCACCAGAGGGCGCCAGGACGGCCCCAGGCAGGCTGCAGTGGGCGCCCCGAAAGGCAAAACACAAATAATTTCTTTGGGCCTTCCCTATGTGTTGAGGTCCTCCATGTGTCGAGCTTCCGACAGTCCACGACGGCCCAAGAGGCCTTCAACACCGCCTCAGTACTGGCCCATCTGCCCCCAGGAGAGCCCCAAGACAGTCTAACAGGGCTCGATGACGGCTCCAGGGGCGCCCAAGACGGCCTCAGAGGCCCTAGACACGGCCCCAAGATGGGTTCAAGAGCGAAATTTCAAGTTTTCCGCCCCAAGAGACCCCCAGGAACCCCCAAGAATATCGCCAGAGGCTGACATGAGGCTCCAAGAGGACCCCAAGTCAACGCCCCAGAAATTTCCAAAACAGCCCCTAACAGGCCAAACAAAGGCCTCCAAGAGGCCCCCGCGAGGCCTCCTCCGACATCCTTCCTAACACTGTCATGGCTTCGATTCACTACCCAGGCACGGTGGCGAGATGGGTCGAAGGCCATCCCAGTCTCTTTCGCACACCCCCTACCCCCCTTCTCACATTTCTTGGCGTGGCCGCTCCTACAAGTCTTGGTCTTGTTACACTACGCTTCCCTCGTCTCGCATCCAAGCTTTACCACCATCTCCAGATTTTCGAATGGTTCCATCTTGCTGTCCTTCGCCCTTTGCAGCCTTGTGTGGGGTACCCTGGAAACCCTTACGAGGACTCCAGTACGGCCTACACCGTCATGTTCCCAGAGAGCCTTCCGGGAACATGATAAGCTGTCGCCGTCAGTCCGACGAGGAGACGGAAGAGGAGTTACAGGAGGAGGAGTTACAGGAGGAGGAGGGGAGGAGGAGGAGGAGGAGGAGGAGGAGGAGGAGGAGGACGACGAGGAGGGTCCGCGCTATCCCACCGGACATTCCAATTCAGCGTAGCACTAGGGACCCGTTCACAGTGGAATTGGGGTCGGGCCCGCGGCCCTGCTACGAATGGACTCAGGGTCGAGGGTGCTGCTTGCAGCTGTCGCTCGCTCTTGTTCTCCTCTGCGAGGCCCTCGGACGCCCCCACATGTCATATGTAGAAGGAAGGGGGGAGGAACAGAAGGAGGAGGAGGAGAAGTTTGCCTGATGATTGACCAAATCGCTTGATGAGAGACAACCGCCTTTGCAACACTGAATACAGTATTATCGAAACAATGCAACAAAGTACAAGCAAGTGAATGGAATATGGAGAATGTGACAGCGAATACAACTTGTCGAAACACTGTAACAAGGGCACGAGCATCTTTGAATTATGTGCCCACCCCCACGGGCCGAGTGCACCCATTATGGTGGGGTGTCTCTTGCCCGGGGACGCGCCTGCCTTAAGGGCTGCAGGCACCCGTGGTCCGTTCCGTCTCCAGCGTGGCGCGGGGCAGGCCGACGTTGACACGAACGACACCTTTGTTTCCGACGTGGGGAAAACACCGCGTGTAAAGCGCTCTGTGAGCTTCCTCTTGACACTGTGTCTGGCTTCAAGCACGGTAGCTGTATTTGCCAGAAGATGTCGAGCCAGGCTACTAACCCTGACTATCTGGCCTTCACAAAAGGGAGGAAACGACTGGAGGAGGGGGAGGACGAGAAGGATGAGGAGGAGGAGGGACGACGACGAAAACGAGGAGAAGGAGAAGGACCAATACCGGGCCTGGACACCCTCTTGGATTCCCCCCTTTTTCGCCCACGACATTTTTGACCCCTTCTGGAGCCTCCCAAACCTCCCCCCACCGCTGAGACAGAGTGGCCTGACAGGTCCGAAGACGCCCAATAAGACGGCTCAAGAGGCCCAGGGTCCAACATGCGCCCAGAGAGGTACCCAGCAGGCCAACATTGTTTCGTCCCACAGGCAAGCCATTTGTTTAGCGACGGGCCCATGTTTGCGCAGTCGTGTGCGGCACAGCGCTTGTCTCTCATCACGTACTGCGCGCAGTGGGGCAATGCGAAAAGATAATTAGTTGCTGCGGAGCACGCGTGCACGGGTGCGCTGAACTTTTTTGTGGGGTTCGATCCGCGTGAAGTTTGCAATTGCCGAATAATTCAGATGCCCCCGCGCGAACACGCCCATGGAGGTCGCAGGTGGACCTCCTCCGGGCACGACCCTTGCGAGGCATGTTCCGAAATCGTCGGGGTGAAGCCATGTGAAGCTGCTCATTGGTGCCATAGGTGGAGCTCCTTCTGCGGATGATTCGCGTGACGGGTGTGCCGACATGAACGGGGGGGCGCGCCGAAGTAGACGGGGGGGCGGGATGCGAACATTGTTTTTTGGGCCGTCCGTGGAACTCTCTGCGGACCACGATATGTGTGAGAGGTGTGCCGAAGTGAACTGGGCGACGTTATGAAGCTTCCCCCTGCTGTCACACATGCAGTTACTTGCGGGGCACGATCCGCCTGAGAGGCGTGCCATTATGCGAACCTTGTCTCATGGTCAGTTGGTGGAGCTTTCTGTTGGGCGCGATCCCTGTGAGGGGTGAGCGAACATGGGCGGGGGGGCGCTGAGCTAAGCTTGTTTCTGGGGCCGCTGTACGTAGATAGTTGCCCGCGGCAAATCCTGCCACCATGCGTGCGCAATAGCAACAGCGCAACAGGAAGGACACTGAGTATAGGAATTGTAAGGGCGCAATTTCGACGATTAGTCTGAACTGCGACAGGTCGTGAACTCGACTCATCTTCGTTCGCGAGGTAGGGAGGAGGAGGGGGAGGAGGAGGACGAGGAGGAGAAGCTGGGGGAGCAGGAGGAGGGGGAGGAGGTGGAGGGGGAGGAGGAGGAGGAGGAGGAGGAAAGGTGTACCCAAGGCGCACCAACGATGTTGCAATAAACCCTCCCCCCAAGTTCCCTTTTCAGAGGTCCCTAAACAACTTGGCTTTCTTGCACATTTGTGATCTAGAGCTTGGATATTTTTTCCCCGTCGTTTTTCGTTCTTTCGCCCGTCGCCCTCCCCCCTAGGCGTCCCTGCCCCTACCTCCTCATGATGGTCATGCTGGCCCCAGGTGAACGCCAGGATGACCCCAAGCTCAGTGGGTCCCAGGAACGGCAGGGCCTTCACCGTTTCCGAAGAAGAACTTCTGTAACATGGAAACGAGCGAGAAACTGCAACCGGAAACCGCAAAGAAACGGCAATGCAAACGATAAAGAACCGGCAGCGAGAACGGCATTCGGCGAGGGCGGAAACGACAAAAGAAGGCGACCGGAAACAACAAAGAAAAGGCAACGGGCTGTGTAGTTGCAACCGCACGGACTTCTTGACGGAAGTGGAAGCGGGAAAAAAATGGCAGCCGGAAGCAGCAAAGAAACGGCGTCGGATATCAGCTGGAAACGGCGACGGAAACGACAAAGGAACGGCGACGGAAACGGCAAAGAAACGGCGCCGGAAACGGCAAATAAACGGAACAACGGAAACGATAAAGAAACGGCTTTGTCATTTCGAGGGCCCATTGAGGCCCCAAGAACCAGGCGTCCCTGCACCCCCCCTGCCTCCTCATGATGGTCATGATGTCCCGTAGTGAACGCCAGGATAGCCCCAAGAACCCACCCCCCTCCTTGATCCCGGCCTCGCCTGGCCATCGCCCTTGGTCGTCGCCCTCCCTCGTGCAGGAGCCAGGGCATGCGTACCACTTGTGTTCTCGTTGTGGGAAGTGCTGGGAAGCTCGGCCTTCTTGGAGGCCGTCTTGAGGGCCATCTTCGCCATCTGCCAGAGGATGAAAAGCTACCCATACCGCCATCCTTCCCTCGTTTTCCCCCTGTTCGGCCTCCTGGGAGGCCCGCATCGCCACCGCTGGATTCGCTTCGAAGTCTTGGTCAGAGAGAACCCTGGTAGAGGGCTGGGGAGTAGCGGTATCGGTACCCTTCGGTTTCCCCAGTCTTGGAAAGTAGTTTCAGAGAGGGCGATTCTTCAGGGCTGCGCGTGAGGAGGGGGTGGTCGGCGCTAGAAACCGGAAGAGACCGTCCACATCACAGATGAGCATTGTAACACGCCCGGTCCGTGCAGGCACGGTGGCCGATATATAGTTAGATTGCCGCATGTTCACATTATATCGAAGACGCCTACGGCGAATCACCGCCGCCCCCTGCCTTTTTGGAAGCGCCTATGTGGCCGAACGTTGAGGCCAGACCTGCCAAGCTATCGGACCACGTGTTCCCCGAATCGGTTTGGAAAGCCTTCGGGGAACACGTGGGCATCTTGAAGGTCATCTTGGCCGTCTTGGAGGCCTCTTGGGCAAGCTATGGGCGATCTTTGGGGCTTTTTGGGCCGTCTCGGGCCAGCTTCGAGCCAACTTCGGCCATCTTGGTGGTTCCTGGCACGTCTGAAGCCGTCGGAAGCCGTTTGGGGGGCCTCTATGGGCCGACTTGGGGCCCGCTTGGAATGCTCCAGGGCCGTCTTGGAGGCCATCTTGGGCGTCTGGGAGGCCATCTTGGGCGTGTTGGAGGCCTCTTGTGCCCTCTTGGGGCCCTCTAGGGGCCATCTTGGAGGCCACTTGGGCCATCATGGGGCTCTCTTGGGGGCCTCTTGGGCGATCTTGGGGGCTTCTTGGGCCGTCTCGAGCCGTCGGAGAGCCGAAAAGGCGCAAATGCCAGAATCCTTCAAAAACCAAGGAAAAATGAATGATTTTGGCCTCTTCGGACTCTCCTGGAGGACCTCTTGGAGGCCTCTTGGGCCGTCTGGGAGGCCTCTGGGGGGCCTCTTGGGCCGTCTTGGGCCGTCTTGGACTCTCTTGGGCCGTCTTGGAGGCCGTCTTGGACCATCTCGGGAGAACTTGGAGGCCATCTTGGGCCATCTTCGCGATTTGTTGAGGATGTCCCGAGCGAAACGGCCGTTTTTTGGAGGATTGTTTCCGGTCGTTGAGCACCTTCCGGGTGGCCGGCGGGTTCTGCCGGAGCCCACTGGGGAGTTCTTTTGGAAAAAGAACCAAAACCAAAACCTGAAACATCCAGCACGCCGTGCACCCCTGCAAGCAGGGGGTCGCGGATACACTGCTTCCTCGGCTCATCCCGCCACCGTGCCTATCGAAGACGCCTACGGCGAATCACCGCCGACCCCTGCCTTTCTAGAAGCGCCTGCGTGGCCGAAAGTTGGGTTTGAGCTTGGCCAAGCTATCGGGCCTCGCGTTCCCCGAGTGGGTTTCGAAAGCTTTCGTGGAACACGGAGTCGGCTCATGGAAGGCTCTTGGGCCGTCTTGGAGGTCTCCAGCGGGCCTTTTGGGCAGTCTTCGGCCATCTTGAGGCCATCTTGGGCCGTCTTGGGTGCACCTTGGGGCCATCTTCGCCGTCTTGGCCGTCTTGGAGGCCATCTTGGGCGTTTTCGGGGCCATCTTCGGCCGTCGTGGGGCCTTCTTGGGGCCTTCTTGGAGGCCTCTTTGGGTGTCATGGGACCATTTTGTAGGCCTCGTGGGCGCTCTTGGGGCGATGTTGGGGGCCGCTTGGGCCTTCTTGTTGGGCCGTCGGAGAGCTGAACAAGAATAAATGCCCCAATCCTTCAAAAACCTGCGGAACATCAATCATTTTAACCTTGTCGGGCCTTCCAGGAGGACGTCTTAGAGGGCTCTTGGGCCGTTTTGGAGGCCTCTTGCGGGCCTTTTGGGCAGTCCCAGGCCATCTTGAGGCTATCTTGTGCCGTATTGGGTGCATCTTGGGGCCATCTTGCCGTTTGGCAGGCCATCGTGGCCGTCTTGGAGGCATTTTGGAGGCCATCTTGGCAGTCTTGGAGGCCATCAGGGGGTTCTTCGGGGCCTCTTGGGCCGTCTTGGGGCCTTGGGCCGTCTTGGGGGCCTCTTGGGCCGTCCTGGTGCCGCCTTGGATGCTTCTTGGGCGCTCTTGGGGCGATCTTGATGGCCTCTTGGGCAGTGTTGGGCCGTCGGAGTCCGAAAAGGAGCAGAAGCCCAACTCCTTCACAAAACTTA